AAACCGCTTAGAGAGGGCTGAAAGCCCTATGAAGCGGTATATAAGTCTAACTGCTATTGCTATTGCTAAAATCGTGGTCATATAATCAAACTTCTATCTTGTAACCTTATTTCTTTTTTTCTTAGGGAGCTCGTGGTTCGCATGGTATGCCTGGGAAACCAGGACCATCGGTAAGTGTCTCTTTGTTATCCTCATTCTCTTGATGTGAATTTGACAGATTTGCAGTTCATAATTTCATAATTTATTAAGATATTTTACAGAACCATGCTCTCAACAAAACAGTACCATTTACTATTGGTATTGGACTGCAAAACCTGGACTTCAGTATCCACTATGGTATTTATTGGGTAACATTGGGCTAGTTACTGTCTCCCAGTGCAAAGTATTTTATAGATTTGTGGTGGTGAAGAGGATAAAACCAATCCTTCCTTCCTTCCTTCCTTCCTTCCTTCCTTCCTTCCTTCCTTCCTTCCTTCCTTCCTTCCTTCTCCTTCCTCCCTCCCTCCCTCCCTCCCTTCCTTCCTTCTTTCCTTTCCTCCCTTGCTCCCTCCCTCCCCTAGCTCCCTCCTTCCCTTTTTTGCTTTTGTTCAACCCCAAACATTAAATATGAGGAAATAATTTAATAAATACTACTTTAACTAATAAGTACCATAAATAACAACAACAGTGACAATGGATCACATTACACCTTGGGTGTGTGACAATAGTATTGAATATGTTGAAGAACCCTAAACTGCACTTACTCCACTACCATCTGTAAACACATGGAAACATATCTTAGATGTCCTTTAAATGTTCCTTTAAGGCTTTTTGTATAGGTAGTGGAGATTAGATATGAGGGTAAGACGGTTACCAAAGTTTTTTTTTAAAAAATGTAGAATTTTACATTTAATTTTTTTGTTCAGAAATGCAGAAAAGAAAGGAGGAAAGCTAAGTAACCACCTTATTTCTTGAATAAAGAAGACAGCAAACAAGCTGCTAACTACAGTTTATGGCAAAACAATTTCTAAGTGTGTTTAGTACTTGCACAAATAGTATCTTAGGTAAAAGTTGATGGGACTCCTTTGCAGGCATCAGGAACAGTTGACCAGACAAATTCAGGGTCAAAACCAATAACATGTTCATTCAACCTGGAATATTTATTTATTTACTTATTTATGAAGTAGCAGGAAAAGAAAGAGACAATTTGATGTAGTTGTGAAGGTGCTGGCTTAGAAACCAGGAGACTGTGAGTTCTAGTCCAGCGCTAGGCATGAAAGATGGCTGGGTGCCTTAAGGACAGTTATTCCCTCCTAGCCCAACCCACCTCAGAGGCTGGTGGTTGTGGGGAAAAAGAGGAGAACAGCTTTACCATTCACTAGTTACTTTCTGGAAATATTTAAACAAACTTAACTCATACATACAGTTGCTTCTTCCTGATGGAGAAGAAATGTTTAGTGGAATGTACTTACTTTACTCTTTATTCTTAATTCAACCCACTTCTTCACTCTAGATAAATCCTCATAGGCCAGATGTAACATTAAGGGCTGCTTCCATCTGGCCCACAGCTGTCCAGTTGTCTAAAACAACTAGGCTTTTAAGACGTTTTTATTGGCAGCCGTGGACGATTTTTAAAGCCCTAATTGCTGCGTGCAGGGAGACAGTTGGGGAAAAAAACATATCCCTAGGGAAGAAAGGACCTTCTCATGTATTAAAATTTCTCTTCAAGAAACACCCACCCCCACAAGGCAATTATGTCTTCAAATGTGAAACTCCCTGTACACTCAATTTCCTTTCCAAAATTTTCTCATCACGCCATAGTGAGGTGTCCTCAGTTGTTGCCAGTGGATAATTCTAAAAAGCTTGCTGACCAAAGGAATCCTTTCTGCATGAGCATGAGTGTGGGTGAACATGGGTGCATTGTGAGTGTTGTCATCATTGCATTGTAAGGACTGGATCCACTTTAGATGTAATATAGAGTTCAGACTGAATTTCAGATAACCAACATCAGAGAATCAACATCAACGTGGCGGCATTGGTGGCGTGTAACCATGGCCGAGCAGGCGTGGCAATGGATGCGCTCCCCTCTGAATGGCAGCCCGACGGCTGACAACCAATAGAAAGCTTGCAAGTTAATATGATGGAAGCTGCATTTTTTTAAAAATTGTGGAACACTTTCAAGCAGCTGCTCAGCAAGCACCAAACTTAGAACTTTCTCCCCTCCTTTCTGCCTTCCAAGTTAATATGTTGTGGATTATGTCCAGAATGGATTTGATCAGGTTAATGAATCAGTAATGTTAACTTAACAGCTATTATTTTATAGAATAGATTATTCTTTAGAGTAGAATAGGGTAGAGTAGAGTAGAATATTCTTGATTGGCCAAGTGTGATTGAACACACAAGAAATTTGACACCGGTGCATAAGCTCTCAGTGTGCATACAAACAACAAAATGATAAATCCTAGACCATAAATCTATGAGAAGAATCCAGTAGAAGAAAGTATACATTATGCATGAATTACTGTTAAAATAAGAGAATGGTTGGGAAATTTGAAGCAAAGGTAATTTGAACATAAGGAAACACAACATCACAATGAAAAAAAAAATCAATTGCTTGATTTCCTGTGGCTTTTCTCTATTCCATCTTTTTTCTATTTCCTGATCTTTTCCCGACAGAAAATCCAATGGCCATTGGAATTGTCCAAATCTTCTTAAAGCTCCCAAGGAATCCCCCCGCCCATCAAACTGACTTTTGTGATGAATCACTGCAAATCTTGGACTTTTCCTAGATAGGTGTTTCTCAACCTTGACAACTTGAAAATGGGTGGGCTTCAGCTCCCAGAATTCTCCAGCATGGAATTCTGGGAGTTAGACATCGTCAAATTGCCAAGATTGAAAAATATTCTCCCAGATCTACTGTAGAGCCAAGGTGGCGCAGTGGTTAAATGCAGCACTGCAGGCTACTGCTAGATCAGCAGTTCAGCGGTTCATCAC